CTTGATCAACATTATTTTCTCTAATGGAGAACGAGTATCTACAATAAACTACTTTAGCCTAACTTGATCAACATTATTTTCTCTAATGGAGAACGAGTATCTACAATAAACTACTTTAGCCTAACTACAGAGTAAAAACAATAGTTTAAACAAATAATTAAATTTACATCTTATATTGATTTTGGTTTTATAAAATCATTAATAACAATACATAAAAAATTTACTTAAAGATCACGGATTTAATGGGTCCAGTATAAGTTACCGCTTAACCCTACTCTCGATACGAGTGCTGTTTTTGAATCAATTGCAGTTTGTGAAATATCTATTATCTCTTAACCTCTAATTTTATAAGAAGTGTTGCTGAATAATATAAAGTTGTTTAATAGATAAATCATATGAGAAACTTTGATAATTATCTAAATCCTTTATTTTAGAAATGTAAAATAAACGTAACCTAAGGATTAAGCTAATGTCTGCATTTTTCTCTTTTCAGACCTCGTCTGGCCTTTGGGGGCTTTAACAGAAGGTATGTAACTTTTTTACTGCTGTTCTTCAGCAGCATTGTGGGAAATTTGATTTTGTTACTGAACACATCTCGATTGAACTTGTGTTGAAACACGCGTTGAGGTTTATATTTTTTTTTCCTCTCTCTCTCTCTTGTAACTAGTTCGTCTGTTTGATATGTACATTTAGCTGTAAAACCTTTTTTTTTTCTGGTTAAATTTGCGCCGCCACTAATTATTTTTAACTATACTAGTGCCCTCTAGCTGTTTTAAATGAAAGTATTTCCAAATGACGTGTAAAGATTTTATAAAAACAAGTTAACTGAAAATTGTTTTCCACATTCCTCTTAATTTGTCGCCCCCTCCGCCCGGTGGCTCAGCGATAAGTCTGAAGGCTTATAACTTTAAAAACCAGGTTTCGATAGTCGTGGTGGGCACAGCACAGATAGCCCATTGTGTAGCTTTGAACTTAGCAACAACAAACAAACAAACTTAATTTGTTCACTGCGCCTCGAAATTAGAGGTGCGTAGTACTTCATATCAATATTTTGTCTTCCATTTATGACGGCCCAATAAACCTTTCGTTCAATACCAGAACTCATCAGTTTGTTTGGAGGATAAGAGACAACATATTCTATGTAACACTATTTATAAACATAGTGTAATACCTTATAGATCTATACTAGTTGTTAAGATTATATATTTCTTATTTTAAATTATAAGCGAAATTACAAGAATCGTAACATTATTCTTGTCTAAAAACAGTATGTATAACAGTAATCTAGTATATAACAGCCTCTAGTTTATCTCCTCCCCCCCCCCCTCCCTAATGCGATTTGTAACCACCCACAACATATACACACCTTACAGAACAAATTGGTGCCACTGATTACATAAAAGTTTTCTAACAAATGTATAACTGACTTAAAAGTTCATTATTACACAGGTGGTATACACATATTTTTAAGATTGTTCAACCATTGTTAAAAATAAACACAAGTACTATATAACAATGTGTTACTGATATATGAATTGTTTTTGTTTAAATGTTCAACTATTGGTAAAAATAAACACAAGTACTATATAATAATGTGTTATTGATATATGAATTATACACGAGCTAGCAACTGAAGAAGGCTCATGGCGAAAATTTGTGCATTGTTTAAAGAAATAAATGAAATAGTTCTTATAATATATTTTGAAAGTTTAGATCGTGGAATATCATTAGAAAGACATTACTTAAATTCAAATAATCAATTAATATAACTTGACCATCCGACTTTCGAATAATAAAAGTTTAGATCAAACAAATAGATATGATATTAAAATGTGTAAATATTGTTTTAAATTTACCTTACTAAACAACGCACACCCTTATTCAAATTGTAAGAATGTTCACATAAGAGCTGTGGTATTTACACATGCCACTAACTTACCAAGTTGATTGACACAAGCAGTTAAGATTTATGAGGATATAGGCCTGCTTCATTTTTGGTTCTTTCGTCTTCCAGTAGGGTTTCCAGCTTATGGCTATGGAAGAGGAGGAACTTACGCTGGTTATCCAGGGTTCGGCTACCCTTTCGCAGGTATGAATTTAAATATGGAACAAATCTGTATTCCGTGCCCTCTGGATCACGTCACGATGCAGCTGTGAAGGTCAACAGCTTAGCCTAATCCTCTCCGCCGTTTTAGCTCCCCAGATTTTTCTGACTGTAACCTAGCTTACGCTCTTTGGGCAGGTCAACATTGTTCGAAATAATGACGTAAGCGTCTTCGGGTAACGTTCGGTTATGGTCGGCATGTCTTCGTTTTGTTTTTCTCAAATGATCGCCAAATTGGGGAGTCCATTAAGTCCATCCCAGTGATATTTTTGTTGAAAAAGTAAATCAGGAAAATTTCGTGTTTTTTTATTGTTGCAAGATTTTTTTTTATGCCCTTGACTTTTGTGCCAAAGTTTTCGCTTGTCAAACCCATTCATCCGAGGTTCTTATATTGTTACTCAAGCGAACAATGATGTTGTTAACCTACTTTATTAAATATTCACGCCGTACAAAAATTCCATAACGAACACATTATATTTTGCACATATACTAGTCTCAAAGTGTGATTAGTGAGATCGCAGGTCCATAGGACTGGTTAAGTTGCCTGAGCAAATGTTTCAGATGAAGTGCACGAAGAGATTAATGTTATAAGTAGTCCTAACTAGGCCTATTATATTAAGCCTAGTTCTCGGAGAGGTCATCGTAGACTAGGCCTAAACTATCAGTCTGTGTCTTATGTCCGAATTGAGGTGTGTAATTCTGTATTTCTTAAATTTTAAAACATTTATGTGGTCTAGGCCTACATTTCTTGACAGTATTTTACAATTACTTCAAATGATTATTTAAATAGAATACTTAACTTCGTATTTTTCCATTCTCCCGATTAATGAACGATGTGGTAAAGGAAAGTTAAGCTTTTCCGGGAACTTGATTATCCTGGACATTTTGAGAATTCTCACAAGTGAAGCGCCTCCAAGCCGATGAACAAAAAATTTAATATGTGAAATTTCGATTTTGTGAAATTAGGATTTTGATGGAATTGTTTTAATTGTGTAAATAAATGATTTCAAACATTACGCTGAATTTATTTCGTTACTATTACTTTCTCGTGCATCATGGCAGTAATAGCCTAATTCAGAATATCATGTTAATAACTAAAAAAGTGAACCTGTAAGATTAAAAAAGTAATATATTTTCAACTTTTCTCACCGCGTCCTGTAGAATCTTATTACAATTTATTGTAGTACGGGAATTTTTTTTCTATCTTAAGTAGTTAGAATGGAATTGTTATTACCAATTTTGTATTATCAGTATACTAGCCCCCCAGTAGCATAGCGGT